GTGATGAATGATACGTGTCAGGGGAGTGGGGATTATTGCCAATGTGCAAAACAAGTGGAAGAGATTACGAAGGAAACAAAGGAATTAGTCTGCGATTTCCGCAGATGGCATTAACGTTGCGACCATGCGCACGACGAGGTGCTGCAACAGTGCGCCGTTCTTGCAATCTTTTATCAATAGCAATCATTAGCGACCTGTTTTAAAGAATGCAACCACTCAACATCAATGAAGCCCAGCCAAAGACTGTGGATATCTGGCAAAACCCCGTTGAGAGGCCCCGGCGGCGCCGGCCCACTCACATTGTCACCCAAGTCGACGGCGTGCGGGTACTTGCTGGCGATGAGGCGGACGATGTCGGCGTGCTCACCGAGCACAGCCGTGTGGAGGGGCGTGCGACCGCGGCAGTCGCGGGCCACCGCCAGCCGCGGGTCGTCCAGGTGCTGCCGCACGTGCGCCACACTGCCAGCCCGCACCGCGGCGAACACCCAGTTGCGCTTCTCCTGCGAGGGAAGCGCCGTGAAGAGGAGTTACACGAGCGGGCAGGCGCGGCCGGGCAGGCTCACTGGTGGCTCAGGAAGGCCACGACTTACACAACTTACGCCAGCTGGGAGTGAACGGCAAAATCACGGTTCAGTCTTATGTTCATAACGCTGTCCGTCTGGGTTTGACAAGGAATTTGTCATAGCTTATGGGCACAGCATTACCACATTTTCACGTTATGTATACAAGGCTCAGGAAGTCGTTCACCAGTCCGCCTTTCCCAGATCAACCGGCAACCCTGACGACGGTCGGGAACTGGCTATCTGAAACACTGCGCGTATGCTGACGCACAAGACGAGGGCGACAGTCCCAACAATTATACCATCCGCAATGTTAACACCTCGTCACAGCCATGCCGTAACACCCCGATGGCATCCTTTGTTTCGTAGAAGTTTAGTAGGCTCGAAAATGGTTGTTTCACAGGGAGAAGGTATTGGCTGACATGACTATTCATGATGGCTGCTCACTTTGCTTTCAGTGGGTAGGCGTGGTATCTTTTATAATCATTTTGCTCCTTCTGAGCATATTAGTACCAGAATCAACAAAATGACAAACACGTTAGCGGTCACTATCGCGCCAAACAAGCCTTTTTGCGAGAATTTTGCTAAACTTTACAAGATGCTTCCAAAAACGTAAACATTGCTGTATTAACATGTAGGTGTCACGACCGCGCACAGAAGTTGTACAGCTTTCATTTTATATTCATTCTTTTAATATGCCCAAGCTGGTTGCTCTAGGCGAGTTAAAATATTAAGGCCTTGAAGAAATATATTTCAGAGATCAGTGTCCCAGCCAAAAAGTGCTCGTGTGAGCGCTACCCCACCGTCCGATCGTGAAAACCCGGGTCGCCGGCAGGAGTCTGCGGGGAAAACTTTGCGAGCCACAATGCTCGACACGCTCAGTCCTGCCCTCTAACATTGTCTGAACGTGGGCGCGGCTGTTGCGACATGCCATGGGACATCTCAGTTAGAGGCAAACAGCCAGTGCATAATGCAACTTAAGCCTAGCTCGCCACGGATGCATGAATGAAAAGGCGGACGCTCAATCCAACTGAGCTATCAACACGACTGAAACCTTTCCCACACATTGAGGTTACGTATGGCAAATAAATCAAACGGATCGGTAGCTAGCGGTGACCGCAAATGCGGCTTTTTACGAGGGAAGTGGTGTTTTACTGTTGGCAGCTACGCTGCTACATTTAACAAACAAACATGTTTTGTGTCTATGAGCGTTAACATCCGAATGCATTAACAAATCCACTGACGGTGTTTGGTGGCCAACCCACCCGGCCAAATTACATAACCTACACCACTTTGATGTTTGGATAGAAAGCACAACGCGTCCATGTAAAGCGGTGCTGTGTGTTGTCTTTTACTTACTTACTGCGTTGCTTTTTTCACGTGATGATTTTTCCGTGTCTCACAAGTGGAGAACGGCAAGTTTTGTCGTTCGGTGATTTGACGTCGGTCCACATTTTTCAATGCAACTATGTCATAGCATCAACAGTCGAAACCAACAAAATAATCATATTCAATGATGTTCGACAATACTCAGTTATGTTCGACAACTCATAACGAACAATTCGCGTTGACCAATATCTGTATGGGATTCACGCTTAAACCAAACTGCTTCAATGACATACGAAAATGCGCCGTAACAATCACGATAAGGACTATGCTGACTATGCTGTTGCCGTTGCTGTAGCTGTATCGTAGAAAAGGCATGTGGTATTGAAGGGACTGCCACATAATCCTTATTATCAAACTGTTGTTGCCCGCCTGAGGTGCATGTACACTTCCGTTAAATGGATGCTGCCTACATCATATCATGTAACCCAGTGTAATTCCACGTAATTCCATTTCATTCTTTTTATCAGCATAAGAAAGGGATAAATGACCAGTCTACAACATACATTTGACTTCAATACGTAAGATTGCATATTATTTAATTCCATCATCGTGTGATTTTTCGATTTTTCCCTTAGCAGGACAATCTTTCGGAGACGCATGACGCGCTCTTCCACAGTATCTGCATGCTGTTGAAAAGTCGGCACGCTGACTATGCTGTTGCCGTTGCGCGGTGGAAGGCTGCTGTTGACGTCTGTACTGCTGGTGCTGCTGGCGCAGCTGCCTGTGCTGCGCCGGTTCACAAACCCTACTGATGTCAGGCGGACCAGAGCTGTCACGGCCGTTCACGATCTCGACATTACGCATCATCGAAGTGACGGCATTTACAGACACTTCCTCCTCTAGTGACTTCAGCTGAGTTCTATGGGACAGCTTCCTGTCAGACATTCCTGAGGTGAGACGATCTCGGATACGCTCATCAGCGTCAGAGAAGCTGCAGTGCTCAGCTAGAGAGAACAAAGCTCTGATGTACGATTCATTAGTCTCGCTTGAGCTTTGAGATCTAAGCTTGAAGTTGTGACGCTCTGCAATAAAGTTTCTTTTCCGAATGAAGTACCCGTCTAGCTTTGAGACAACAACTTCAAAATCCTCCTTCTGCTCAGCAGTAAGCTTTAATGTTGGTACGATATGCTCAGCCTGCGGACCCATACTGTAAATCAACGCAGGTACTTGAACGTCACCGTCCTCTTTGTGCAGTCCCGATACCAGTCTGCAGTGGACGAACCGATCACGCCAGGTCGGCCACCTCTCAGGCGATGTGAAGTCGAATTCCTCAGGAGGACGAAATCCAGGCATCTCGACTTGCTTCACAACTCACACTGCTTAAATTAATGTGCTGCTCACGCTTGCTTAAGCTTACTCTAGGTTCAATGCGGCTGCGCCATATTCAAGTCTTACGTGTTCTGTCTGCCCAGACCAGACACGAGCGCTGCGAAATGGCAGCTGTATTAACCCGCGAGGCGAGCGGGCGGCGCCGACCCCGGCGGGCGGCGCCCCAGGCAGTACACCGCCAGTCGGGGCAGCGGCGTACCAAGGTGCAGCAGCACTGGCGGCGCGAGCAGGGGTGGCCTCAGGCGCACGCCAGTGACATCATGATACAGCATACATTTGACTTCAATACGTAAGATTGCATATTATTTAATTGGATCATCGTGTGCCGCACGCGGTGAAGCTCTTCTCCCGTACAGTCTGAGAGTTTCATTTCATCCCGAATCGTTGAGTTATCAACCGTGGTAAAAGAACGGAGATAAAAGGTAAGCTCATTGACCACAGGATTGCAGGGGTGCTCAGGATTGCAGATGAAGCTCAAACAATTCCCTACTATGGCCCCGAAAAACGTAACGGGTGTCAAAAACAAATCTACTGTTCCAATCAATAGTGTCGTACATTCATTTTAGTCTAATTGCGCTTGGCTGCTTTTAAGGTCACATGTGACATCTCGTGGACAAAGCTTGTTGGCCTCCATCGATAGAAAGATACTCTTTTGATATATAGAGAGATAGCCTTCTCCGTACTAATTGGTGCCAATGCGTGAAATACTCGCAAAAAGAGCGTGTATTGCCGCGCAGACAAATCGTCGTGGCGGAAGGTTAAATTCTGAAAAGCGCTGAGGTTATTCTGACAAGATTCGTGATGTTGCGAAACACGTGGTTGTAGGTCGTGGTTGTGGTAGCAGGATCCTTTCAAACGAATACAAAGCGACACTCGTGCTTACCTGTAATGCCATCGACATTTCAATTACGTAGGCATTGGCAAGTTCCGTTGTGCTAGAAATTTTCCAGTGGTGGATACATTTTCCAAACAATCTATTGTTTGGATGATAAACTTAAAATTTTTAAACGCATGTCCCAAACAATCATACTCGCCATGTGCGCATCAGCAGGCCGCTTCGTTCAATCTGGTTAAGCATACCATGCAATTTTCTTGTGTGACAGGCACCATAACATGACACATGTTACTGCCATCTCGTACTGAATTCGCAAAAAGTTGTTCCCGAGATAACTATGCAAACGACACGCGGTCTAATTTGAAAAGGACGCTGATTTGCGGAGCCGACAGAACCCGTTTCTACCTTACTAATGATAATAACGAGAGCGAAGGGTATAACCTTAACATCCCTCCAACTACCGTGAGCTGAACTTAACTTGACATGGTAGAAGTGTGTGTCTAGCTAGGGAGGAGCACCAACAGTCACGTGGTGTCTGTTGGAGTAACGGCAAGGAAACCCAGCGTCTGCTTAATTGTTCTGCATCGACATAGGCATAATGGTGTCATTTCGAAAGATATGCAAAATGTGACACTTCAACTTGACCCAAAAGGTCAACTAGGCCAGGGTCCATCAATAAAACTGATATAAAATGAAGGCTGAGTAACTAACTGAAGGCATTACCATCTACACGATGGTGACGCCGTACCTCATGTGTGCGTGCATCTAGAAGCAAACTTGTCAGATCTTCCAACATTTTTCAAACGAATCGCAAATTTTGGGCTTGATGCACAGTCCCTAGAAGCTTTCTGACTTCGCCGATATTGCCACAGATGGTTTTAAGAGGATGAGATAACGCGAAAAATGAATGGCATCAATGAATTTTCACACTTGGTGGAAAGTGGATGTATCCATAGTGTTCATGAATCGCCTAGTAGCCAACACCCATTCCGACAAATGATTTTATCCATACAAAGCAGATTTCAAAGAGAATATTTCACTTTCGTGAAATACGATCATACGGTTCATCATATCATACATACGGTTTGTCGTTTTGGCCTGCCGTGTCCATGCTATGTTCGCATCTAGCTCGCGCCACGCAACATTCGTAAGACAATGTTCTCACAACGTTTTTCTCGAGCCCTTTACTTCCGACGTTGTTATCTCCTCCCCCCCCCCCTCCCCCCTCCCCCGGCACCAACCGGCCCAGCTTGCTTGAGCTGCTAAAAAGTCGTTGAGATTGTCGTTAATTAAATTAGATCGTTGGGGTGACTAGCCCATCTGACCCTCTCCCCTGGTGCGCTGTCTCCGTCTGTGAGACTAGTGTTGAGTGCGTATATGATGCCAG